GTTCATCTACGACGCCGTAGACTTTAACGACGACCGAGAAAAGTTTATAAGAATAATTAAAGATTTTATAGTTAGCATCGCTAGAATCGAGGTCTTAATAAATGTCTATATAACGAATACTATGAATCTAACGTATCGTTTTATCTTAGAAAGACCATTTTAGAAGATAACTTAAGGATTAGTCTAGGAAAAGAACGAGAATACTTACATTATAGATTTAACGAATAGCTACGTCGATAAGAGAGTATAAATAGTCGTATAGACTACTCCTAACTTCGATAAAGATCGAGATATATCTACGATATTTAAGCTTATATACTTAGCCTCTTTAAAAGGCTAGACGAGTATAAGACGATGAAGAAGCCCGTACTCACGTTAATAAGAGCTTAGAAGAAACCTAGAACGCTAGCCCTCGACTTTAAAATAGACTAGGACGGTAATCTAATTTCGGTAACGAATTCTTTCGTAATGAGCGACGACGATCTTTAGGAGCTATAGTTCTTAGCTAGATCTTTCGACGTATAGAATAATAAGTAATTCGTAAGATCGTCGAGGCTAGTTAACGACGAAGCCTTAAGATAAGACCTAGAAAATAAATAGCGATATAAACGTCTTAGATCTAAGCGGTCGTTAAAAGCTCGGATTAATACTCTCTATAAGAGAAAAGCTAATAAGGTAAAGCCTATAAATATCGATCGATAGAACGACTTAATACTCGAAGAATTATTAGACTAGAGAGTAAAGATTATTACGAAGAAATAAGCTACGTTTAACGGACGACCGTATCGATTCTCTAAATAAATATACCCTAGACTTATAATATTTCCTTACGAGGAACGTCTAATATCGAAGCGCCTAGAAAAGCTAATTATCGAACCTAACTTAATATCTCTTAAGAAGGAAGTCTTAGTGAAAATTCTATATAATCGAAAAGGCGCTTTAGTCTAGAATATCGAAGAGATTAGAAGAATTTATCACGATATAACGCCGCCTTAGATAATTCGAACTATATCGTATATTCTATAGTAGACGAAGAGTTTCCTAGTCTCTAAGATATTTAAGTCGATCGTAATTAAGCTAATTAAGAATAAAATTTAGTCGCGTCTCTTCGAGTTTAGTTATGGCTCGTATAGAAATCTCTTCTTTCTAGTTAAAAAGAAAAAGTCTAGAAAATATCGATTAGTGATTACTACTTAGAATATTAATTCGATAATAATAAGAGACGCTAACTTATCTTCTTCTTCGAACGACTTTACTAAAGAATTCTTAGAGATGTAAATAACTTCCCTTCTAG